AGGTTAAAACTAATTGCAACGTAAGTTGCAACATTAAAAGTTGCAACATATTAATTACAGTTCCCATCTTTAGTTGATCATTAACTAATTTAATCAATATGATTAAGGGCATTATAAAAATTTATAAACACATTGATTTACATTCTGACTATCCAAATCTGATCAAATTTAATTAGTTTTATTTAAAATAAACCTGAAAAATAATCTGCAAAATGATGACTTGAGGCTTTGATAAAATTTGTTCTTTTTTTTCTCATTTTTCTCATGTATATTTTAATTTATAATTAAGTTTTAAATAATTTTTTTTTATTTTATGATAAAAAATGATGAATAAGATGAGGATAATTTATTTATTATTGAATTTTCACAAACTTTAAATAATATTTACGAAAAATCAGAATCAGATAATAATTTAAATTTAGAAATTCAAAATGAAGAAAATAAAGATAATAGAAGTAGTAGCAATAAAACAAGTAGGGGTCAGGTCATGATCATGATCGAGATCAAGATCGAGGTTAAGGGTTCATAAAATAGTTGAACAAAATGTTCAACTTCCACCTCCATCTCTTTTTAATACTTTAAAGCATTCAAAACCTTTACATAAATTTACAATAACTTTATCTAGAAAATACCAACCAAAATTATTATCTTCTTATTCGATTTTTTCATTCTTGAATAAATAAACATAATAATTTAAAACACAAACAAATATGTCTATTTAAAAAATATAGGGAAAGTGTACAAATAGAAAGATTTAATAGCAAAAGAATTTAAAATTTAACTAGCGATTTTAATATATATATAGGTATTTTTAAATTACCTAATGTTAAAGATTATTGGAATGAAGATGGAAAGTTTCCTGAGCATAATATTACAAATTTTATATCATTACTTTGTTTTGTACAGGTATTTTTAAATTTTAATTTATGCTTAGTTTTTTTTATTAAATATTTAAATTTAAATTAATCAGAAATTACATTTATTATTAAAATTTAAATTAAACGTTTAGACTGTATAATTCTATCTTTATTTTGGTATTCTAAATTGAATTCTTTAGCAAACTACCTTCCGAAAGTTTTTAACCAAGTTGTATTCCTTCATCAAATATATTAATTGATAAAATGATAGCTAGGTTTTTAAGAAGAAGCTGTTATACTGTAAGGATTAAAACAAACTTACTCTAGAGAGTTATAAAATTTTTTCCCTTTGTGATTCTGATTATATATATACCTTAAGTTTTATATTTAGGATTCACAACCAACTTAAAATTCAATAAATGCTAAGTTTAAGTAAAGTACGAAATGAAATATATCATCTTGTTTTCTAATTATCAAAACATAAATCATTCAATATTTTTATTGATAATTTTTTCAAGTATTAATCTTTTTAAATACTTGTGTAATAATAAAATTGGAGCTTGTGAAACTGTTTGTAAAAATAATGCTAATTTTTCTCGAATTTTTAAAGTAGATAAAAAATTAGATTTGGACACACTTTTAAAATAGTTATTAATGATATATTGGTTATTTTATGGATGGATAATAGACCAGTAACTATGCTTTTAACTATGCTTTCATATATTTTGCTTTTATATCACCTAATTCTGCATATGCTTCAAAACATTTATAAGCTGATTCGCGGTTACCATCACGAAGTTTGTGTTGTTTCGTTGCTTCATCTACTGTCATGTAATCAAAATCTGCAAAATTTGGTATATTCATAATTCCTTTTACTTCATCATCTGATAATTTAAGAGAGTCGGAAGTATCTGGACGTTTTGGCACGGGAGGTGGTCCACAATCATTCTTTTTAAGATCTTGTAGTATAGTAAAAATCTTTGAAAATCGAGGTCGAAAATTATGATATTGATGAACAGCTAGAATAGTAAATTTACAGAAGTTTAGATATTAAATATAAAGAGTTAATAAGTTTATTTAAATAAATAAATATTTATACCTTTTACCGCAAGTTCACGATATTCATTTGGTAAAGGAGAACCGAAAGATAATTTTTCACGATATTTGTGGAAATAAACTTGCATGTGTATATCTAAAATATTTTCACCAAGTTTTTCATAAGGAATTTTTTCTTCGGCAATTTCCCAAAGAAGTATACCAAAACTGTAAACTTCACACTTGGTATCATATTTATATTTTCCACCAGATAATTTTTCTGGGGCGCAATATCGTATAGCTTCAAGAGCTGCATTTTGATTTCGAGTGCTATCTGATACTGCTCGACTTAATTTAAAATTTGCAATTTTAGCAGTTTCATGATCAGATATTAAGATATTTTCGGCTCTGATATCACAATGAATGATCTATCAAGACGCATTTATCCCAAAAAGTAAAAAAAAAAAAAAAAAAAAGGCAGTTTTAGTAGTTAATTACTTTACTATGGGGTGGGGAAGATATATATTACCTCAACGGCGCTCAAGAAGTTTAAGCCTCTAGCAATGTCAAGAGCAAATTTTAATTTTAGGTTAACTTCAAGTGGGCCATATTTTTGATAATATTCACGTAAATTTCCATATTCAGCCCATTCCGTCACCAAATAAAATCTATCATCAAAAGAAGTTAAACCATGTAATTGAATAATAAAACAACATTCTTTCAATTTTTTTAAAATTGTGACTTGTCTTTTAAGACTAGCTTTGTTTTCATCACTGCTGTCTTTGTCAGCCACCAACTTTAATGCGACGTAATCATTTAATCCATTTTTTCTTCTCTTAAATTTTCTAACATTTTGATTTTCTATAGGTTCTCCTTCTTCTTCAAAATCATAATATTCAAGTAATTCACATTGGAATACATCTGATTGAACTGTTGAATAGACTTGTGCCATTTGATTTACTGCAGTATTAAGGGCATTAATTTGAATGACCGTTTCCGAAACATTTTGATTCACGTCAGTTATACCGCTGCCAATATCTTCAAGGTACTATATAAAGACGTAAGAGATTTAAAAAATAAAATTACTTATATTTATAAAGATAATGCATAATAACATTACCTGAAGTAACTCTTTGATATCATTCTTAATGATTTCATTCTCTTTAGCTGTTTTAATTGCATATATATTAAAATCAAACGCCTGGAAAAATTGTATTTTTTGTATAGTGGAATCAAATTCATTGCTTAATTTTTTAACATCACGTTCAATGCTTTTGGCTTGAATATACTTGAATAAACCTGTTAATTGAGTAATATCTCCAACAAATTTACGAATTTTACCAATTACATGAACTAATTTTTGCAAATTATAAAGATTTCCTACTGATAAAAATTCTCCATTTTCATCTCTACGATTTTTGAAATACCTTACGGCAGTATCAGCTATTTGGACTCTATCCAACAATATCCCACAAGTTTTTTTATTATGTTCAGCCGCTTGATATATTTCTATTATTTCATTGAACATTTCGGATACAACTTTAATAAGTGGTAAAAAACTTAAAAAGGGAACTATATCGGACGTTGCTTCTATTCCGTCGTGAATTGATGTTTTTTTAGAATTTGATACTATAAGTCCTCCATTGTTATCATCAGTAATTATTAATTCTGGAGCAAATTTCTTTACATTAGTTACATTACCATCAATAAATGTATTTAATTGATCTGGTTCTTGTTTTGAATCAACAATATCTAATTTATGAATCTGAGAATCACAATTTAAAGTTCCTTTGCTTGATTTAGATTCATTATTATCAAAAACATTTTCATTATTATTGTCAATAAATGTATTACATTGTTTAGGAAGTATTATTGCTTCAAGAGATGAAACAATTTCCTGTATATTTGGACGTTCATTTGGTTCATCTTTCCAACATTCTAATGATTATATTAATGAAATTAAATATAATATCATATATTTTTTTAAAAAAAAAATTTTACTTTACCTTTATATAATTTACAATATTCCATACGGGTTCCGTCAACAATTTCTTCTCTTTTGCCGCCGACAATATCAATGATTAACCCTACATCATAATTCGCAGAACCAAAAAACGGTGAACGTCCACTTGAAATTTGCCACATAAGCACTCCAATACTATAGACATCAGACTTTTTACTTAATTTGTAACATGTGTTATTTAACCGCTTTGGGTCCATATAAGGTACTACACCTATTATTTTTGACGCATTATTTGAAATATCTGTAACGTTTCTTGATAGACCAAAGTCTGTTAATTTAATAATTTTCTGATGCACAAGTATATTGCTGGCATGCTTTAATAAAATTTGAATTAATAACATATTTTGAAAAATAAATAGAATAGTAAAATTATATATTATTACCAAATCACGATGGATAATATCATCATCGTGCAAAAATTCTACAGCACTTGACAGTTGAAGTGCCAACTGATATTTGTCACCCCAATTTAGTTCATTGAAATGCTTTTTCAAATGTCCCGTTATTGGCATATTCTAAGACTAAAGAGTATACATCTGTAATAAAAAAATTTATAAATTAAAAAGTAATAGCATTAAAAAATCAACAATATATTTCTCATACTGACTGGGTTTTGCCATTGTTATTCCATACAACCGTATAATATTATCATGATTATTAACTTTCCAATGCAGCTTCAACTTTTACAATATAAAAAACAACTATTTAATGTATTAAATTTCTTTATTAAAATTTTTGCAAAAATAAAGATTGAACGGTACCTCTTCCACAATTTCTTTGATGACTTCTTGATTATTAAAAGATTTCAAAGCGAATATACGTTTATTTTTCCCAATAACACGATAAACTTTTCCATACGAGCCCCTCCCTATATGTTGAATATTTTGGAAATCCGAGTATTCAAACAATTTTATAAGACCATCGTCAATTACTTTCTCTAACCAACCAATGTAATCTTTTATATTTGTATCTTTTGACATGGTTCTTTTTTTTTTTTAAAAAAAAAAAATTGATGATCTTCACAATGTAATATTATATACACAAATATGTTTCACAAAGACAGTAAACTCACTGTCACACTATTTTTTATGAAATTGTAACTGCGCCATTAGATCACAAGATCACATAATCTCCTAAAAAAAAAAGAATGACTAGTCAGTTTGAAAATTGCCGAGACAAAATAATTAAAATAAAAATTTATAAACTTTTTTCCTTTTTTCTACTCTGAATGAAATCCAAAATTACCGGGTTTAACAAATGTTAAATGCAAAAAAATAGGTTTTATGTATCGATTTTCGAAACTAAGCCTCTAAAAGCAACCTTCAATGAATGTGTTATTTGATATATAATAGTAAGGTCCTTATCTTGCAGACTAATCGTGTAGGTTATCCAACCTACAAAAAAAAATTGTTGCATTTAGGCGAAATTCCTCAACTTGATGAAACTCTGAACAGATCACGCTTGAGTTATAGAATGTATAAGACAAAAATTCTTAAAATTATCCGCTGGTTTATACAAAAAATTTATGCCAAAACATTCTTTTTAGTTAATAAATATTTACCTTACATATATTTATATATCCAATGAAAGAAAGTTTGATTTGTCGTATATTTCCTCGTTTACTGTCACAAATTATTGTTATTCAATTAGCGATATATTTTAAATCGCATTTAGTTAATATTGGAATTAAATTGGCTGAAAAGCTCGTGTTACATTTACATACAGTAAATTTCATCCTGGCCAACTAAGAAAACTGCCCTGGAATATTCTGTAGTATTTCGGGCGAAACCATTTTTACAATCCGAAACGTTCATTCGCCCGATATGTCCAGAATTATCCGAAATACTTTGTAGATCAATATTCTGTATTTATTGCTATCGGCGAGCTTTTACAACGTCATGTAGGCATTGACACGGAAATTGGAAACTCTCTTAAGTGATAATAATGTAATGAAAGAGGGTGACTAAACAACTTTTAATTGTAAGGTATTGGGTTTGTATAGCGTAGGTAGTTCGTATCTTCAACATTAAGTTTAACTCGGTTTTGATTGAGACTAGAGCTCGGTGACTTCGTATCTATTGAGAAATCTCTTTGCCATAATAAGGTTAATCGATAAAGTAGAAAAAGTGAAAATAAAATACTTAATAAGTTTTTTATAAAATTAATTATAATTTATTTCGAGATAAATCCGGGTCAATCTGGTTGATGATTAAACCAATTGAAATCCGGTAAAGCTGAAGCAGAAAATTAGTTAATAATGATACAAAAAAAAATAGTTGCAGATCGATACACTTTAGAAAATAACGCCACAAAATTACTTAACCCTGGATCAGCTCGCAAGGGAGTTGCAGTAAATATATTACCTGTATCTAATGTTAAATTATGTCAAGAAGAAACTGTTGAGGTTGATGTATCAGAATCAAAAGTTGCTGAAATATCGAAATATCGAAAATTTACTTATTATTATTGCGTAGGTTAATGAGCCATATTGAATTTACAATAGCTATTGTCGGCTTACTTCTTTAAGCGATATAATTTATGTAAGTAATTTTTTAAAAAATTAAAATGATTTTTAAGCTAAATTTCACTAGATACCTATTTAACTTGTTTAACTAGCGCAAAATATCAGGATCATGTGATTAGAATTCGAGTATCACGTGATATGACGTTCGATGACATTTGACAACGTGACATATGACACACTTTTTATAAACCTCTTACTTTCTCTAACGGTAAATTTTTTTTTAAAAAAATTAACTGAATAATATTTTCACAAAAAAACTGAGAGAAGGAGGAACTGTTTATGTATTTTTTATTCGACATAATTTTAACTACTAACCAACCAACCAACCACACGACCATCTATCTATGAAAACCTTGTTACGCACCTAACACTTGATTCTTATTTTAGAAAGTAAGTTGTAACCTTCATTTCATAGTTTTGGAATATGTATGTAGAATCTGCTCTTTGTCACTTGTATTCGTCATTTCCATACTAATTATTATTACCTTAAAAAAAGAAAATAATGAATGAAATACGAAGGCAAGGAAGGATTTTTGAAGAAATGTCGAATATATTTACAGGTATAGAACGTTCCATAAACGTAATACTTAGTGCATGTCGGTAGTCCCTCGGGCTTTGATTCGGTATTCCCTGGTGGCATTACCAGTGTTTCAAGCCATAGACAAAATTAGGTTCTGGGAGGAACCTGGCCAGGCTACCGCTGATTGGTTCTCACGTCATCCTCTGTCTCAGGGACCTAGGAGCTCCCGTTGGTTTTAAGGCTTAAATTTCTAGTACGTAAAACTGTGACTAGTTCGCCTAGTGCAGGATATGATGACATGACACGAACAAGCCATGATAGTATCGACCATTATCGCGAGATATCTAATCTTTAAGGTTAGGTGATAATGATTAACCTTGTGCTTTATTTTAATTCATTTTTTAGTTGAATAATTTATCCGAGGTAACGTAACTTATAAAATTGGTCTAAGAATTGAAAGTCAATGAATATTCTTCCCCGTAAGTATAACTCTTGAGATTGTAGATGCATTGATATAAATTATACTATATTAAAAAACATTTTCAACTAATTACATTCACTTCCATTAATATGACAGATTGCAGCCGCAGACACAATACAACTAGTAGAAGTGATATTATATCAGAATATATTAAAAGTTCTTTCAGGCATTAAGTTTTGCACATTATCATCTATACTAAACTAATTTATTGTATCCAGAATTACATACTTACCTCCAAACAGATTAATATGAAGAGCCAGACGCATACGAATAATTATACACATTTAAATGACAAGTCGTTTATAATATATTCAACTTGCACTGAAATCAATATAGAAAAAAAACACATCTATCACTTTATCAGATTAATTAAGAAAGGATTTTATCATAACGCTACAAGAAAATACCTGCGCGAGTTGTTATTACCATATTTGGTAAGAATTTACATGAACATGCAGATCAATGTTTACACCAAAAAAATTTCTCACGAAAAAAGATTTATTTATTAGCCTTTTGGAAGTCCCTTTTATTAAATGAATTTTCTCATTTGGTCAAATTTTTTTATTTACTAGGTTGTATGTGATTTATTTATTTTCGAGCCCATTCTCACAAACATTTTTTACAGTTCGTATTTTACCTTAATATACCATACCATCCGGGTGGGTGGTAAAACCCCGTTATCTTTAATAAAAATCATTTTTTTAGATTTCTATTTTATTATTATCTTTAATCTTTAGTCCAACATATGATACTCCGTCCGGTTGGGTGGTTACACCCTTTATCATTCTGCGATGCCCTGTCCCAATACTGGACACAACATTAGTATCCTGATGAGATAACTCTTGTTTACATTTGGTCACTGCCAGCTTATAAATGGTCACGGCTGTTGTAATGCTTGGGGCTTAACGTTGTAGATGTAAACTAATCCAACTTATCATAATTTCTGGAAAGCGTTTCAACTACCTACATCATATATCCTTTAGGTAAGGGTTTTTTTTGAAAAAATTTGTTGAAGTTTTATTTTATTTTTCTAACCCTTTCTAATGAAAATCATTTTTCCAGTTAATTATATTTATTATATTATCTTTAATCTAACATATGATACTCCTTCCGGATGGGCGGTTAAATCCCGTTATCGTTCAGTGATATTCCTGCGATGCCCTGTCCCAATACTGACACATCATTAGTGCTCGATGAGATTACTCTCGTTTGCTTTTGGTCACTGCCAGGCAGTAAAGGCTTACAAATGGTCACGGCTGTTGTAATGCTTGGGGCTTTAACTTTGTAGTGTAAAATAATCCGTTCGGTTCATAATTTCTGGAAAAAGTTTTCATTCAACAAATACCTGCATCAAATATCCTTTTGGTAAGCCTTTTATTTTTTTTCTAAATTGTAAATTTTATTTTTTCGTATCTTTTCTAACAAAAATTATTTTTTTCAGTTAATTATAATTATTATTATCTTTAATCTAACATATGATACTCCTTCCGGGTTGGTGGTCAAACCCCGTTATCGTTCAGTGACATTCCTGCGATGCCCTGTCCCAATACTGACACACCATTAGTGTTCGATGAGATTACTCTCGTTTGCTTTTGGTCACTGCCAGGCAGTAAAAGCTTACAAATGGTTTCGGCTGTTGTAATGCTTGGGGCTTAGATTTGTAGGTTCAGAAGAGTAATCATATATGGCTACGATCAGTAAGATGAATTCTTTTGAAACAAATATGCGAAGTATGCTTTTTAATTTTTTTATACTTTCTTATTTGGAAACCTAAATTCTAATTTCTTTCTTAAAACTTAGGGTTGATTACTATACTAGTCGAATTTATTTTCTTTAGTGAATGGTTTTATTCTTTTTTTTCATGTATTATTTAGAAAGTCAATATTTCATTATTTTCTTAATAAAATAATTAATGATTATTTTCATAAAATTCGTAAAATTGCAAATATTATTTCATTTGATTAAAAAGATTTATCAAGTCTGGATAAAAGGTTCGTTCGATAGTCATAAGGGACCAATTTCGCAAGCAAAATCTGATATTGATCATATCATTGAACAGTTTGAGTATCTTCAAATTTTTTTTATGTATTTCAGAATCACGTGATAGATGTGAAAAATAATTACAAATTTGCAAAAAAAAAAAAAACTAAAAAAACTAAAAAAAATAATAAAATTCCTTTTGGGTATCATGAATTCAATTTTGGTTCTATCCCTTCCCTTACATTATTCTGTAATGTGGGGAAATTTACCCGTGAACGGCTCAATTTATTTTTTTAAATAGTCCTCTTTAATTATCCTGCTTGCTCTCCATGCAGCCATGGCAACAGGTGCATTAGTATTACCATTTGGAACTATTGGAAAAATAGAAGCGTCGACAACTCGAAGATTTTTGGTTCCATAAACTTGAAGACGATGATTAACACATCCTCCTTGGGATTCTGGTGCCATTTTAACAGTACCGCACGGATGAAACGATGTATAGGACTAGATAGTGCAAAAAAAAAAATAGTCAAAAATTGTATTTGAAATTCCTTGTCACTTTGTGTGGATGAAAATTACCTTTCCACGAATGTATCGTTCCCAATCTTCATCGCTCATCTCTTCGTCCACACTACACCATTTTCCAAATTCATCATTAAACCCAAGTTCTTTTACGCCCCATACAGTACTTAATGGAGGTTGTTTGAGAATTTCACGTGATAATTTTAAAGAGCTCATCATTCTATACAAATCATCGGGTTTTTCATAATAATTGAGAAATATTTTTGGTTGCATAAATGAATTTGAACTACATAATTCCAGGTGACCGACACTCGATGGGAGATTTAAAACGGAGATCATAGTAACCGGTTCAAAATTTGGTGGACATTGTTTAGAATTGACATATTCATTAATAACAGGATCAAATACAATCGTGCTTACTATGAAATTATAATGAATGAATTATATAAAATGTTTTAAAAGATTAAAGATTTCAACCAATATTATCATAACTTACCATAAGATTGAATATCAGGATGTTCATCATGGAATTCTTCACGACTAGGAATTTTTCCTTTATCATTGCCTTTATAAATAATTCCAAGTTTAAGCCCATTACACCAAGAATGAAATTGAGAAGTGCTTATATTATTTGGAATAGAAATTTTCCCAGTAACCGTACATAAAGGATGATCCTGTAGATTACGCCCAACCGGTAATTCTTTGCGAACTTTGATATTATTTGCTTCCAAATTATCTTTTGGACCGATTCCTGATAGCATTAAAATCTTTAAAATTAATAAAAAAATATATATATATATACGTTATATAACAGATTCAATCTATCAAGTCATGATAATTTCATGAATAAATTTTAATTCTTACCTGAGCGCTATTAATAGCACCACCACAAATAATTACTTCTCCTTTTGGTGCAATGAAAGCTCTATGAACTCCACCATCATAGAAATACTTAACGCCAATTGCTATATTGTCATCTTTCCTTTCTTCATCCCAAATAATACTCAGCACGTGGGCAAAAGATTTAACATTAACAGCAACGATCTTTGCAACACCCCCGGCTAATCCATAAGGAGGTCCTAATGCCTTTAAAGGAGGATATGTTTCAACTTTTTTCAATGCATCTGTCAAAAAACAGTCAGCCAACGAGCAGCGATTTCCATCTTGTGTTGTGGTCTATATTATATTATTATATTAAAATTGTATTAATAACTTATTTATAAGTTTTATTCACTTACTACTAATTTACCTGATATTTTCCAAATCCATTTTGCCTAGCACCATTGAAATCTTTATTATAAGGAACTCCAAGATCTTCTACAACCTTCATGAAATCTTTTGTAATCTCATAAGTATCAAATGGACTATCTTGTACGTGAAGTAGGCCATCGTACCCGTGATACTTCTTAAATTCTTCGTCTGGATTTTTTCGCGCGTTTTTTTCGACGGCTTTGAAAGCTTTTATAAATAAATCGGTTAAATTTATATTTTCATAATATATAAACAAGAATAATCATAATGAATTAATATATACCCTCAAGACAATGATCGTAATCCCAAATTTTGTATTCAGGGCCTTGTGCCGCCCAACTATCGTAATCAGCCTTTTGACCTCGTCTAAAATCATGAACATTAAAACATACCTTATTATAATTTTTCACTAGCGTAAAAATATTTCAAAATTTGAATGTACATTAAAAAAAAAAACTCACATATAAATCATTCCATTTACAGTACTGCATCCCCAAATAACCTTGCCACGTGGATATGTGATCCCTTTATTTAATACTTCTTTTTTAGGTTCGACAATGCTGGACATCGTTTGATCTTCTGTTATATATCCCCAATCAATTTCACTTGCTCGGTAAACCTATTTATAATAATTCGTTAATCCAAAAGATTTGATGATAAATGTATTTGATTCCATAAAACTTACCGTAGAAAAAGTACAAGGTAAACGCATTTTATCATTAATTAGTGTGTTTGGTGGACCAGCTTCTAATACCAAAATATTAACATTGGGAACATTATAAATCAGTTCTCTTGCTAATACACATCCGGCAGTTCCAGCTCCAATAATAATAAAATCATAAATTTCATCGGCCTCGTTAAATTTTTGACGTTGATCGCGGCAATGAATACTCTCCGACCAAAGATTGCGAATTTCTGCATTAATGGCCTTTATATTTTTATTGTCTGATTCTATCATAATGAAAAATTATAAAATAATTTTTTTTTTGTGTGGTTTTGGTACCAATTTTTTTGATCTTTAAATAATAATCTCACGAGCATCTGATAACTCGGAAAGGAAAAAATTTTTTTTTTTGTTCTTCCATACTTTTAAACAAAAGGAGAAAAGTTAATTCATTAATAATTATTTTTCTATTATTAATTAAAGCTTTTCTCACAGAGATTTTTATAAATGGAAATCGAAATATAATTTCAGAAACTCATAATTAATTTAGTTTAACTAAACTAAACAAAAATTTGTCATGTAGATCCTTCTTTTCGTGGATAATTCCAGCCGGAGGGCAAAAGGGGCATTACCAATATTACTCTGGGTTTAATCAAAAATGTTTACGATTATTTAAATTGATTGTTGAAATATTTATAATTAACTTCCGTTTATAGTAACTCTTCAACATTTAAAGAAATAGACCCAAACTTTTGAATTAGATATATGAAAAGAACCAAAGGACCATGTGAATTACAAGGAAAATCCTAATTTAACTACATAAATATAATGATTTTATCTTTTAAATTTTAAAATTTGTCTCGAGTAAATAAATAAAAAAAAATAAACTGTCTAACATAGACTACCATTGAAATAAAGTACTTCTATATTTAGAAAAAATGTATCGCATCTTGAAAATCTTATTTTTGCATGAATTCTTCTTTCCAGTGTCCAGTGTTAAAGAATAAAATTACTACACAACTCTTCGGGCCCAATTTGCACCGCGTCGAAAGATCAAGGAAATACTAACAAACAATGCTTAATTTGTTCAACACCCAGTCATTAGAGATTATAAAGAAAATATAAATTTCCAGCTGTTTACTAAATAACAATCTATATATATATATTGCTTTCCCTATTCTTGTTTTAGCATTGTTTCTTTATTTTTTAACTTTTAAACAAAAAATCTTTTCTGTTTATAAAAAAAAAATAGTTTATTCCTCGTAAAAAGCCTTAATTTAGTTTAATATTAAAAAAAATTGTGAAAAATATATATTAATTAAATATCTAGTAATAATCTAAATTAATCCAAGTTCTAACCCAAAACCTTCTCAATGAACGAGTAATTCTAATGCACAAAGTATTTATTTTATTTTAAAGACAGGTTTATTTTATTTTTTTCTTGTAAAACATTTCAAGTCAAATATTTTTTCTCATTTAAAAATTTATAAATAAATATTAAAGAAATAAAATTTATTATACTGTATATAGGCGGTTTGCTATTAAAATCACGTTACAGATAATATCATAAGTGCATTCATTTTTAAACTCTATAAATTTTACAACGAACGTATTAATCATAATATATCATATTTGTTAAAATAAAATTCATTCTTTACCATTTGCAACCTGTGGTCAATCTCCATAAATAATTTTTTAAAGCTACCATCACAGGTTGCAACAAATAATCCCTTTATGATGACAAAAGATTATGTGTCCCAGTGACCACCAATCTGCATATTCTTTTGTAGAACAATTTTCCTCTCGCTCGTCACTTGGATTTTGAATTTAGTTTACAAGAAAATCCGTTTCTGGAATTGACCATTGGATTGACATTTTTGCAAATCGAAAAGTTAATCCAAAACTGTAATTAACAATGAAAGAGGATTTTCATTATCTACAATAGCTTTATATCTCTATGAAGCCATCCTCTTTCATGTATTAACTAAAATATGGAACAAAATTAATATTAACATAAATAAAGGATTTATTAAATTAATATATACCAACTTTCAGATCAGACTCCTAAAATAATCGGTATCAACTACATCTTACTTCTTGATAATGAATTGTACCTTTAAAAAAAATAGAAGTAATATATGTCAGTAATATACAATATTTATCAAACTATATATTAGTTTAACGAGTTACTGATTATATACCAATCCATCATCATGTAAGCATTTTTGTGATTCATTATCGTGAGAACCTTCAAGATCGGGTTTCGTCATAAAAGTTTCGCGAATAGGCTTTTAAATGTCCTTCCATTCTACAAGGTTATACTATTTGTTTTCGAAACTGACATTAGAAGAGTTGGGAATATATATTTCCAAAATAATCACAAAACAGGTTCTGAATAATATAAATAATTTTTGAGGGAGCGTAAGGAATATTAGAATATTTAATAACATGAAATGAACAACGGTCATTAATTTAAAGCCACACAATATTTTATTTCAACCTTCGCTTTGTTGTCTATTTTCTAAGTTAAAAACGAGAGCCACAAGTATACACGCGAAGCTTATTTATTCTCTGGAGTTATTATTTTCTTATCTAGTAGTTTTCGAGAGTTTTTATTTTTTTTTATTTTTTTTTTTTGATAAATCGTTGCAGGTCGTACAAATGAACGCCTACGTAGCACGAATGTATTATGGGAGTAAATCTTTAGAAATTTTTTTTTTTACATTATATGTCATTTAATCATTTATTTAAAGTTTAATACACGTACAGTATAAAACAAATTATTAAAATTTGTATTTTCGATTTGGGCTATAAAGATGAATTTTTCAAAGTACTTTATATACTTTGATTAATTTTGAATATTTTATAAAATTTTATTTTAAAAAAATTTACATTTGAGAAAATAAAAATGTAACAATGAGGGGTATCTATTTATAATTGTAATTATTTAATTAAATTCTCTAGATCTTTCTTCTATTGATCGGTAATATAAGGTTCAAAATACGTTAAACATCCTGAATTAAGTAAATGTGATCATGTTTGAAGGAAAGAATCAATAAAAGGAGTCTTCCGCTACTCTATACTAAATAAATTCTTTGTTAATTATTGTACGTGATTTATATTGTTCGAATAGCTTAAGGATTTTTTAAAAATAGTAGCTATCATTTTATTAAAGTTGTTTCTTTTCAATCTTTCGAAACTTTTGAAAATACTACTAACAATATTGGATGTCAAAATTTATATTTTTTACGAGAAAGAGAACTTAGAAATTAATGATAAATAATAATACTTCAAATACTTTAATCTTGCAATTATCATAATGTTCAATAAAAAAAATGTTCCGCCAGTTCCTTAATACTGCCCCCAAAAATATAAGGCGCAGAATGTTATTCTATCTAAAACCTAAAAAACTATGACACTTCGCTTCGATTTTTATTTTCAAGATATTTGCAAAAGACGCACGCGATAGCCACTGCGCCTATCATGTTAACATTGACAATTTCGTCACAGATTTATACAGGGATAAACTTGATCAGTATATTGATTTACAGAAAACATACAGTGGCAGCCAATTGTTTTGCATCACCTGAAAAAAAAAATTAAAAAAGTAATATTTCGCAAGCTTACATATTATAATGTAAAAAGTAAAGTATAAGACCATGTCTATCATGATGCAATTTTTTGATCATAACTGTTACATATATGGAAATTTTTTGTTGATCTATTGCCAAAAAGTGGTGATGCATTTCTTTTGACCGTTTTCCTATTTAAAAAAAGAGCCATATGCAACGCCTCAATTTTTTCTTTTAACGAACATAAACAATAATAATGTAAAAGATACATTATTTATAGGTTTTTTTTTGGACTTTTATTTTTCTTCACTTCCTCACCATGGTTCGTATTTATGAAAAACGTTCAAGAATAAATGCTCTTGTTTAAGAGGGATATCCTTCTCGATATATTAAAAAAAAGAAAATGTTCTAATGCTATGGAAATTCAAAAAAGCCCAAGAACTAATAAAAGAATCAATGTCAGCATAAGCACTATAAAGCGTACATTACGTAGAAATGGTTTTTCTTTAAGAGTTAAGCGAAAGAAGCCATATTTGAAAAAAAAACATCTTGAGTTACGTTTAAAATTTGCTAAAAAATATAAGGATTGGGGATTTGATAATTAGAAACGAGTAATTTGGTCAGATGAATCCAAATTCATAATATTTGGATCTGAAATGACCAGAAGAGCCACTTACTGACCAGCATGTAATTCCTACAGTGAAGTTTGGTGGGTTGTATTATGATATGGGAATGCTTCTCTTCTTTTGGAGTTGGCAACATTGTGCAAATTTATAGGACCATGAATGGTGATTTGTATCGACAAATCTTAGACAAAGATTTCCTAGGAACAATCCAGTGGTATCAGTTGGATAAAAATGATATTATATTCCAACAGGATAATAACCCCAAATATGCTGCTAATCTAACTAAGTAGGTATTCAGGTTCCCAAATAAAAAGGTCGGTATATTGTGTCATGAAATCATTAAACTTTTTAGACTGTTCTGGCGTAAGATTTCTAACATGAAAGTTTCCTTTTTCTGTTTCCTTATATTGATAGAAGGATTCTTTTATGATTTGATTTTGTTTCATTAGACTTTCCATTTCATGATCAATTACTTGAATTTCTTCTACAGATAATTCTTCTGTGTAGCAAAATAGTTCATCTTGCTCTTCATCTTCATCATTAATTTCTTCATACTCTTCTTCCTCATATTCTTCCTCACTTTCATTATCATTAACTGACTCGGTCCTTATTTTTGGGGACTGACGGAATTCAATTGGTACATTTATTGCATGGTCACCCCAGTAAAGTATTATAACTTTATTTTTGTAACTTATTTCAGCATCAGTTTTTTCTAACCAGTCATTTCCTACAATACGTCATAAGAATCTGTTCTAGTTACTATAGCATCAAAGGAAATTATTTTTCCCATTATTCTTAAGGGAACATTAGTAACTTTTCCTAGAGGTCTTCTTCTTTCACCATTAACATTAACCATTATTGTATTAGAGATAGCATTACATTCCATTCCAAGTTCTTTCATTAATGCAGCGAACATAATGCATTCTGAAGAATCCAAGTCAACTATTAATGATATTTCCTTATTCTTAATATGTGCTTGATAGTATAAGACAGTTGACTTTTGGTTATTGCTTTTAATAGTTGTTTGATGTGTCTCATTTATTGCAAGGATGTCATCTTTTTCATTTTCGGCTGTATCCATTTTCTTAGAGCCAGTCGGTTCATTTGATGTTTCATTATCATTGCTTGGTTTAGATCTGAATGAGAGTATTTCAAATAAAAATAGATTATTTTCTTATGATACTTTGAGGCCTTTGCCTTTATTTAGTTTTCTATTAATTGGCTTTCTTAATTTGTTCATTAAGTCTCTCGCCACTTTAGGGTTCGTTGCTAATAACTGCCCATTAGTTATGTTAGCTGGTTGGTTGAACAGTTGTTGTATGTTATAGAAAGGTATTATGTTAACTACGGGTGGCGCAGCTGGAGGTTTTCTTTTTCCTTTTGGTTTTATAATCCTTTTTGCAACTGTATCTTTTTGTTGGTTTTCTCTTTCTCTAACAGAATCCTCTTCATTGACTACTCATCTCCTTTTATTTATTAATGCTTCCTGTATTGATAAGTTAGAGGAAAGAAAAGAAGGTTTCGTACCATTACCCTTGTGAGGTACACCTTCTAGTTTAATGACTGATCATCTTGTTGTTGTCCTAACAATTGTGCTAATAATTATAATGCTTGATTATTGGAATTATTTGATAGATTATTATTAATTGGGTTATTAATATGTGGTGATACATTAGCTGTTAAATTATTCACTGGAGTTGGGTTTACAATGGGCGATGGGTTAACTGGAACATTGGTCTGTTGATTACTTTAGTTATTGAATAGAGTATTGAGAGGACAGTTTCTCTTGATATGATCAGGCTGTTCACAGTAATAGCAGGTAAGATTTTCACGATTGCGATTTGCAGAGTAGTTATTAAACTGATTGCTATTATTATTTGGCTGGCTATTTTGTTGGAAGCCCATTTGATTATTCCTTTGGTTGCTTTGATAGCTTCGCCTGTTATTTCCTACATTAAGTTGTTGTACTTGTTGTGATAGTGCAACAATAGCATTGTTTAACGTATTCATTTGATTGTCAACAACTGAGGGGACACTATATTTATTCATATAGGCTTATATTGCAGTAGTGTCTTTGTAGGTTAGTTCATATTGTTTAGCTCTTTCCAATGCCGCATTCTATGTTTGATTATTGAATGGTTTTACCAACAAGTGAAGTTCTGGTAGAAGTTCACTGACAAGTCGTCTGGCCTTGTATGCGTCAGGATATTGAAATGCTAGTGTTTTTACTCGTCGATATAATTCAAACAATGCACTAGTATAATCATCAACAGATTCGCCAGATTGTTGTCGCCTCTTCTCCAATTCAGTTATCCAAATTTCAACAAGAGTTTGTAATCTGAATGCAACAGGAAAGCTGGTGACAAAATCAGTGTTATTATTATTACTAGCCAATGCTATAATACGATTTGCATGGTTATTTGTAAGTGTTTGGTTATTGATCCACCATGTTGAAGCTGAATTTTTCAAATATGCTGATACAACTTCTAGTTTCCTGTTGTCATTGATTCCATTTGCATTACAAGCACGTGTAAAGTTCTCTAGCTAACTAATTGGATCTTGATTTCTACCATAAAAATAAGAGAAATTAGTGATACGTGATTCTCTTCAGAGTGGATTAGCATTGATAGCATTTGCGTTAGCCTAAAGTTGGTTAATCAAATTGAAACTCTATTGTTACCATTAGGAGCAAGTAGATTATTTGGATTAAAAATTCTGGCTATTTGTTGTAAAGCCGTAGTGAGAGCTTATACATCAGCTTGATTGGCTGCCATTTCTTTAAATAGATTTTCTAGGTTTAAATCTTTGTCGTTATATAATAGACTGTTATTAGGTAATTGATTATTAAATATATCACTAGAGATAGTTGAGTCAGTATCATCAGATGTAACAGAGGTGATACAGAGGTTGTTTCTGATATTTGATATAATATATTTAAAGGGTCTAAAGCAAATCCTCTTGTCAGAATAAAGGCGTTGTATATATTTTGTCTGACTACTACAGGAGACTCGTCAAATCCAATGTTATATCGAATACTAAAAATGAGGTTGTGTAACACATTGTTTACTGTGTTAGCAGTGTTAATATAAAGATAGGTATAATTGAGTTCTTCTAAATATTGTTGTGTATATCTGGTAAATGTCACTGTGGGATACTCAGCAGTAATCTAATTCCAAAAGTGTTGAAAACGCTCAGATGTGACTTGTTCAGGAGGATAACAAATGTAACAGGATCTATCACAATGATATGCAGTAATATTATTCAAATTAAAATTGATGTGCAATTGATTGTGTTGTCGATTATTCAAATTATGTTCATCAAACATGAATGTTTTTTAACAAAAATAAAATTTCTGGCAGAAGACACCAAGTGTTACAGTCAGTTCTTTATATTGCTTAAATATTATAAGCGGACAGATAATATATGTGATAAGCAGAAGGTTTAATTTGTAGTTGAGATTAAGCAAAATATAGGTATTGGTAGTTTATTTGATATATATTAACAAATGAGTATTGTCTCAAACGTCGGCACTTCTGTACTATACAAATATTCTAAATAATCAAACTAAACTAATTTAAACTATTCCTATAAGTCTTTACGTCGTGCGTTCTCTGTCTGAACTCTTTGAATCTCTAAGGATTCTCAACTCATATTTATATAAAATAAAATATATATAATCATTAACAATGTAAAATAAATAAACTAAATATAATTAATAAACTAAGTTAAATAAATAAACTAAAGAAAATAAATAAAATAAATAAACTAAATAAACTAAGTTAACTAAATAAATGACGTAGATGACGTAAACGAGGTTAACAAGGTTAATATAGTTTCTAAGGATCTACATTAGGAAGATTATCCTAATGATTTTTCGTGTAATACTATTTTAAATTTATATTCGGGTGATGTAATACATTTTAAGCGCCACTATACTTTACTCTAGTCAAAATCTTTTTTGACAATATTTGGTTCTTTGCATACTACATCTTTTTAGTTAAGGTCATTTCAATGCATTTGATAATTATTTGATAATTTAAAGATATTAATCAAATGAATAATCGTGTTAATAAATGAAAGATTACATAATGAAATTTAACTTTTTTAGTATTTTAGAATACCACTTTAGTTATAAAATCGACAATTCTTAATTTTCTTTTTTATTTAAAAACCCTTTAAAAACTGAATTTTATTTACTTAATAAACTTACTATAATAAATAAAAAAAATATGGATGCAAATATTATTAATAGCTAACAATCTACCTAGATATCATAATCAAACATGTAGGATTGGAAATAATTCCATTTAAAATTCATGTGCTATGTAAAGAAACTCTTTAAGAAATTTGGAAATTTCCGTTTGATCCAATTGATATATGTCATGACTTTTTGTATGATTCGATTAATTCATATTCAATATCAGAAAAATTATGTCCTCTTTAGTCTTGACAAAGGATGGATTTATATGGAAGATTCAATCTAATGTTCAAAGAAATAAAAGGTTTATTCAGTTTAATTAATGTATTATTATTATTTAACCAAAAAAAAATAACTATTACTTAATTTTATATCAGAACTTTTGATTTTCATCAATCAATGAATTTACATCACGACAAATCAGAAAAATAACTCAAATATCAAATAATGATTATTATGATTTGTCTACACCTCCTATATTTACTACTGGAAGTGAATGTCTAATCTTTTCAAAGGAATGACGTTATTCGCTATTTCCTTGTAATTTGTTCAATGATAATGGAATTTTACTTGGAAAAAAAAGATGGAGAAATCAGATTTTTATCATTGAAAGATAGATTAGTATCAGAATATAATTTATTCGTACCAATTGATAATACTGAAGTAGAATATAAAAAAAAATGCTACATGTTTTTTGACTGATATCCATTTTTCATTAACTCAATTATTCCTTGAAGTTGTCTTCATTATAATTATTCTTGACGTATTATAATCACTTCGTCTTCATGATTCGACAAAAGAAGTTATCACAGATTCACCAAATATTACATTGATTTCTAAAGATTTGTTTATAAGGTAAAAGTTATAATCTTCAAAAGTAATCAAAATTAAGAAGGATTGATTGTTCGTTTATTCTGTATAATCGGTTGATTGTAACAGCTGGAGAAGGTCGCATAATTGTTATAAATTTCGATAGAAACATGTTTTCGGATGGTAAATGCATCATGGATAAGATTGATTTATTGCGTGTTTAACAAAAAAAAATAAATAAATAAATAAAGAGACTTAATTCTTATTATTCTTATTGTTTTTGTGGGAAAATTCTTTCCCTTTGCACACAATTCCTGCAATTTTTCCAAAGGGAACCATTAGGTTGTGTCATTATATCACTTCTTCATTTGATGGAATATTGTATGTTTTAAAAGTTGGAGGAAGATTAATTCGATCTCAATTTTCAGTCACAAGGATCAATCAATTTTATACAAGAAAACTAATTTGGTAGAAGAAATTCACGATCATTATCAAAGAATTAACGTCCAACTTAATGCGGCAAAAAAAGAAGGGAAATACTAGCTTTAAATTCACTTATATTGTTTTTATCTAACTTTATTGGACTTTTTTTTTTTTTTTTTTTTTTTTTTTTAGGATTAAACCCTGCAATAATTGCTAGTAATGAAGTTATTCATGAATTGTACGTGTACATCTAAAACGTGAAACTGAGCAACAGTTAGATGAAAATAATTTGCCATTAATTGTGGAATAATTTCCGATAATTATGGCAATTTCTATGAATGGAAGTGTTACGCAAGGAATATTTTTAAGAATTCGTTTAACGAGCAGAATTGAAATTCAATGGTCAAAATGGTGGTCATGTATCCTTTAAAATCTTTAAACAAGATATATATGTTTTATACATCAAACAATAATCAATGAATACCCTTAATATTTTAACCATGACACATCATAAAAGTATTGGTTCTTCGAATCATGAAAAGGATAAACAAGAGAATTTATGTTATTCCGTATCATTATTGGATATGGCGTCCTCATGGTAAATTTAACAGTTTTTGCTTTTATTAAAATTTCAAAAATTTTAAAAATATTGCATAGGGAGCGAGATATTGAAATAAATTTACGATTTTTACAATTTCCCATCATTATTAAACTTGCATTATGCTTTGCACCTCCAACGCCAATAGAACATACGTCTTTTTTTATCCATCTATTCTCAATACGCGTTGAATAGCGCGGGTTCCGATAGAATGCTCGAATGGAGTTCCAGTCGATTAAATAAGGATTACATGTCATAATGCTGAAGTTTTATTACTCGTTGAGGCGGCATTATTCTCAAGGTTACAAGATTTTTGTATAGATAATCCTCCGACAAGTTCCGAATCATCCGTTTCATCTTCAATGAAATCAAACGTGACGATCAATAAATCTGGTAAGAATTTGAAGAACTTTGTTTAAAATTTATTTTAAATCTTATTCAAGGAAGATTATAAAATTTTGATTAACATGCTTGAAGATCAACCAAACGAGATGAATTCCACAGATAATAAAGAGGAAGCAACTATTGAAGAAATCTTGGTGATTGGATAAATTAAGAATGGTGGCCATATATTAGAAAATATATTTGTTGACATTTTTAGCGTCATAAATTAATACCTCATCCATATATGCTTTCTATTTAATAATTCTTCTTGTAACACTTCAACTAAAACACTAAGGCATAATTCATCCGCTGCTCCTCATTAAACTTCTCTACATCAATGTCTGATGACTAGAATTTTTTTTTTATTGAGAAAAAAAAGTTAATACAACTTTCAATTAAAACAAAAAAAACTTTCTTGACTCACTTGAGAATGAATGATATTGAATATGGTGATCTTAACTTTAAGATATAATAGTGAGCCTTAAATTTTTTCGTGTTTGGTTTAATAATCACATCATGTCATCATCGTTTTCAAGTAAATTTAAAAAATCATTCTTAAATTCTTGAGATAATCTATTATTAATGTTTTCTCCAACAGTATATTGAATAATAAGCTTACAAATGGTTTCAATGACTTCGTCGCTAACATAATACACTCAAAACTTCAACATTTCGCTATCATGATAAATGGGGATCCATCTTCATCCTTACTTGCGAAGACTACAGAGTACGCTATTCTGTTAAAGAGAAACTCGTAAAAAAACATATGGTCATATAAGTAGTTCCTAATAATAAAATCGACGCCTTGACAGTTTTGTGACGGATTATTCGATGAAAATAGGAAACGATAAGGTTTTGATTTTAGATTACGCGAATAATAAAAGGCTTGTGATTTGTCTTTCTTTCTTTTTACTTTCATTAGAAAAGTTTCAGAAATCAATTTGTATTATTAAGATAATTTGATAATTTAGGAATTAATTGTTTGGATATCAATTTATAGGATTGCTCGTAATAAATGTTAATAACGTGACCAATTATTGGAGTCGTTCTCGAAAAATTTTAAAAACTGAGATGAAAAAAAAAATATTTAAAAATTGATAATTAGAAAAGTATATATGTTTGAACGCAATAATTCTGCATTATATACAAATCGGCTTTATTATCTGGTTTCTTATTTATCAGCAAATAAATACTAATAATGGGTATTCGTAACGATGAAAAGTTTAACGTTGAAACCAAAAAAAGACCATTATTTAAAGTAATCCTTTACTTTTAGCAAGTTCAATCAAAGCCATTTTTTTTAAAAAAAAACACGTGTTAATTTGAATTCTTAAACCTTCGAATTTTTTTTATATACAAAATCAAAATTATTTTTTTATTTATTTATTTGAAAACATTTTTTGAATACATTAATAAATTTAAATTCAAATATTTTATTGCGTTTAAATAGTAAATAATCACGAAAATGCTTGCACTTGGCCAGATATAGGTCAACCCATAACTGTTTCTCCCAAACACCGCGTAGAGGTGGCAAGGTTCGTTCAGGACAGGGTAGATTATCAGAACAAAGTCATCATTTAATCTAAATTTTGGTATTGGATCCAAAGCCAAGACATTCGTTATCATCATAACCTAACTTTTTTTCCAAGATAACCAAAATTAAAATTTATATACTTATTTAAACCTCGCGTATATAACGAAGCATTTTCTTATTACCAAAAGAAAAGCCAAAAAACAATGGGAAACTGATTTTTGATTTGGAATCACTTATCTTAAAACCAATTTATTCACTTTATCACTACTTCCTTCAGAAGAAAAGGGAACCGAATAAAATCCGTAAGGAAAACTTCAAAAAGGAACGTACTGCGAAATATATTTCTCCCTTCACAGCAGGGGAGCATTACACAATAATTGTGTAAAGGTATAAACACCCAGTTAAGCAAAGCAACTAGACAGCGAATATACGGTCAAGAATTTTGCAGGATCGTAAAGTCGAGGCATCGCTTAAAGTTTACGCTCTAGTAAGCTTTAGATTAGCAAAGAAAAAAGAAAGAAAAAAAAAAACAAAAAAAAAAAAAAATAACCATGAATAAATAGCCAAAAATGAACGATTACACGTGTAAATAACATTTTAGCCAATCAAATAGCGAGGAAAATTTATATTAAAAAAATAGTCATAGGAGGACAATCACGTGATCGGCCGATCGATTTCGATAGTCTACTTGATAAAAAAAAAATAGCTTTATTTTTAAAACTCACTATGCAAAAGAATCTCAAAAGAATCTGATCTTAAAGTACTTTGCTTAAGAGAAAAATATAATTCTATCTATTATAATACATGTAATATTAGACTATGTGAAGTTGTTATATGCTAAAGATAATTGATTAACTGAAATAAAGTAATTGAGTTTTATTTCGTTTTATGAATAAATTGGATTATTTCTTTATTGTAATGTATCTTATTGTTTTTTTTTCTATGATACAACAGTCTAAAACCATCACTTATTTATTTTGTGATCAAATTTCATTTTTATAATAAAATCATATAAAACAAATTTTATTGGTTAATATTTAAATCATATGATTAGAAAATTTAATGGATTAATTATTATTAAGAATTTATATTATATACGAATTTCTATATTCTGAATTTTTTGTTATTGTGAATTTTATGAATAATCCCAAATTTTATTAAATAAAATAATTAAATATAAAGAATTTTTATAATCAAACTTACAACAAATTGAAAATCCTGTACTAAGTATAATAAATAGGACTTTTGTTAGCAAAGTTTTTTTATATAACAAATTTTTATATTAAATTTAAGGGATATAACAAATTTTTTTCTTGTATTACTATTAAAGAAAATATTATATTATAAATTTTAATAAAGTATAAATTAATAATTTAAATATTTGCAAGAATATAATAAAATATGTAAAATTATTTAATATATTTTTATAAGGATTAATTAATGTTGAACCTTGGATTAATTAGTGTCAAGCTTAGGATTAATTAGTGTTGAATTAGTGGTGATTAATTAATTGATTCAATTTATTTAATTTCTATAATTCAAATTTGATATTGCTGAAAATTTCAATTGTGTAATTGCGAAAACTGCATAAATTTAAAATTACAAAAATTTTTAATTGTAAAAAATGTGTATGCAATTGTAATGTTGTTATTATTTGTTGTTATTACTTATTTAAGATATTTTGAATAAATAAGAACGCGTTTGTCAAAACAAATGGAAAAACTATATAATAAGTGGAGTTTGTAAGTGTGGTAGTAAAATATAAGTATTTTTTTGTGCAATTTTCATAAAATTCAAAGACACTTTTGTCTCTAATAAAACTAACTCAATTTTTATTTATTTGTTATGTTTTAATATTTGTTAGAAAAAGAATAAAATTTGGATAATATAGTTTATTATTATTTTAAAATTAATAATTGATTTATTAAATAACATTGCTTTAAAATTAACATTTTGCTCAAGATATTTATTATTAAAATCTGATTAGATATGATATTTAGTATCATTATATAATGAATAAATTAGCCAAATTAGTGTATATAGATTTAACCAAAAAGGAGTATACTTTGCAAGTATTTTGAATTTTTTGTTACAAGTATTATGATATACCTAGGGTTGGTAAAGTCCTAATTGGTCCTAATTGGTCCTAATTAATTTTAAAAAAATTATTAGTTTTAAAGATTAAATTTTTTTAGATATTATTATTATATTCAATTTTTTAATTAAAGTTACTTATTAAAATAAGTTTAAATTTCTTTTTAAA